TGTGTTAGGATATATATTTCACAGCATATTTGTTTTGCCTGAGGTTAGAAATGATCAGATTCTCTCATTTAAAGAGAGCACATTTACTTTTTCATGTTCCTATTGTTAGTATATTCCTCTTTTGAAGGAGGTACTTTGATGCATTCAGTATATTCTAGCACATCCATCCTTGTGACAGAATATTCACCTTACAGATCTTCAGTTACTAAAATGCTCAGTTTTAGCACTAACTCATGCTACTGATGGAGGGCAGTGTGAGCAAACGTTTGTAGCAATAATTTGCAAGGTGAGGCAGAACACCAAAACCAACTCTTGCTCCTGGAAGGATCGGTTGTGTTTTCCTCTGTAAGCTAAAATGAAGCATCTCCCCAATTCTTAGCCTGGTCCTTTTTCATAGCTTGCTTTCTTCACGTCTTCTGGACTACGCTGCTGCTTCTCTATGACGGTTAAATGCATGGGCTCCAGGATACAGTCCTTGAAGCCCGAGTCTGCTTATGTAGCTCTTTACATATAAAAATCAGACGGGGAACAGTTGAGCAAGTAATAGCAAAAATTAGTGGTTGAACTTCTACACATAAAAAGTGCCAGTGGTGCACATTGTAGGAATAGCCACACACACCAAACAAAATCACCTCGTGATGTTAAACACAAAATAATATCTATTTTGGATACCTGGAATTGGAGCCACAGCTAACACTCTACAAGATCTGTCAATTTCACTATAAAGGGACTGAACATAATTTCATTTTAATGGCATTATTTAAAACTATTATGGTCATTGCTGAAGGAAACAGGGAGTGTCTGAGTCACAGGCTTTATATTTCAGAGCAATGCAGACTCCTGCAGACTCACCCAACCAGCTGCTAACTCCCTCTATGAAGACAGGAAGGTAAATATTTCTAAAGCCCACAACTTGAAGTCTGGCGAGACACTGAGAGAGACAGGGAAGAGGAGAGGGAGCGAGGGAGAGAGAAGTGAAAAATCCTGGTTGCGTCTCTCTAGCTGAGGTATGAAACTCATCAAACAGTACCATGCTTGCTCTCTGGCATTGCGTTTCTCTTCCTCACTGCTTGCCCGTGGCTGATTTTAAGTGGAGCCATGGAGGAACGACATATACCACGGGGCAGGGGCCAAACCTCCGTCAGAACTTCAGCTTACACCTGGAGTAGAGAAATCAGGATTTTTTCTTAAAATCTAGATTCTATATTTCCAGTGTTCTTATGTAAGTCGTTAAGGGTTGGAATATAATATAATACTTGAGATGAGAGACGAACTTTTAAAATTGTATAGTAAGGTTCTCATCAGATTAGTGATGTATCAACTTTTGAAACCATGTTTCTAAGAGATGGAAAAAATTAAAAAAAAAACTTTTGTAGAGCACTATTTTTAGAGCATTGCTTTGATTTAACGATAAGAATAAAAGCAAGTATATTCAATAATTACTCACTTTTTTCCAACATGTATGTTTTAATTCATTGAATATGAACGCTTTCTTGCTAGTGATATACTGTGAGCTGCAATTCCTTTTCCTTGTACTGTCAAAATTATTCTAAGATAAAGTGGGTTTTTTTAGCATGAAAGGTACACAATTATCTTTCATTATAACAAGTTTAGATCCATAGAATATTTTCATTGTCATTGTGTGTTTTATTAGACGTGTTTTGTCTCTAGTTTTTATGTTTTATTTTAATAATTATTTTCTTCACTTCTTAGAGTTTAAAAATGCTTCAATGAGAAGATTTTTTTTGTGAGATTATTTCGACATAAACACTATTGTCAGTGATAAGAAGGAACAGATAAAACCTTCTCAGCTTGAAATAAACTGCAAAAATTAGACTTCAGAATATCATGGGTTTTAAGATAGGAAGTTTGGTATTTTAAAAGTTGGACGAGTATTTGCTAATTTCTGCTAACTTGAAAACCATAAATTAATTATATAATTGAATATAAATATAACCTATTTTGCAAGGTTCCTAAGAATATAATACGTATTTGGTACAATGAAAAAGTATTCTCATAAGCCAGTGTTTTGTGATTTGAAAATTTTTTTTCATTTCTATCACTGAACAATTGCATAGTGGGTGGCATTACGCGGGTTTATTTAGCAACTTTCATATAGCTTATTTTCCTTTTTTGGAGTTTTTAGTTGATTAATTAGGACATTTGGTATTAGTTGGTATGCTTAAAATTTCCATGAAAGTAATTAAAGGAGAAAAGAAAAATTGCAGTTTTGGTTCCATGGCAATTTTTATTCAAAGATATTGGGCAGAATACTGGGATGTAAAATAATTCATCTTTAAATATAATTATCTATTTGCCAGTGGGATTTTGAATTCTCATTAGATGAGGAAAAAAGCTTACTTTGATTTCTGAAAGCTACAGTGCACCTGCGTGTACAAAGATAATAAAAGCAATTATGTGAAGTGGAACATGTCTTTTGGAGCTTATTTCTAACATGCATTAACATGTCTGTACAGAGTATTTAAGCATATACTATTTAGTGTCATCCATCATTTTCAAAGCTGTGTCCTGAGAATTTATAATTGTTTAGGAATGTTTGGGCTTGTGTTTTTCTGTAAAATTGACGCATGTTTCATTTTATGTATTGAATTGTTGCCTGTTAGTTTTGATCTTATTTCTCCCATGCTTCAAAGTAACAATTATTTTGCAGGTCTACAGTATGATTCAGGTCTCTAAAAGTTGGGGAGCTTAGACTGTCCATTCCACCCACTAAGTTGCCTGAATCCCACTATGTCCAGTCCTGTGTACCCCAATTCTGCTGGGTTTCTTGTAGCTCTCACTAACTCTTTGCCCTGGAATACTTTAGTTTGATAGGAAAGAAGCATAGTTTTTAAACAATAACTTCTAAAACACATAGGCATTATTTCTTGGAGGAAAGGGCTCATGGATGGTGAACAAACTTTACTCTGTTGCTGGGGTATACCTGGGAAATGGGGAATATAACAAATCAGAAAAAACCGAACGATAGTGGCCATGACTTCCTGGCTGAAACACACTCATTGGACTTGGAATTCCAAAGTGAGGAGTGTGGGTTCCTCAGAAAGCTCTTCCTGAAAATGTCCGATTTGTTGTCTTCTGGACAGAGCAGGATTTTGTCACCACAAGGAGGTACTACACGTAGCAGTGTCCATGCTCCGAATGTCTACTTTCAGTCAGGCATTAAACAAAAATCATTGCTTTAAAATTTTCTCTAAACTCAAGCTCACATTTGACAAAATGAAAATGCAAACATTTAATTCAATCTCATTTATAATGTTAAAAGACATTCTTTTGCGATGTAAACCAAGACAACACATTGCAGTTTTAGAACTGTACAACCCAATGAAGACGCATTTAAAAGGAACTCAGGAGAGAAATACCAGAGTGGGTCACTAAGTAATTCCATAGTCGTGACAGCCCTCTACATTTTGAAACAACACCTCAAGAATTCTAAGGCAATCTCATTTGCATCCTTGTCTCTGAATTTTCTGTTATACCACATTTTCTCTAGCATAGGATACAGCTCTGTGTTGGGGGAAAATCGTGTGCATGGTTATGGTATATTTTGTTATGACAACCACAACTTCTGTTCAAAATCAAAACATTATCTTTAAAAAACTGACATGCTTATGGGAACAAAGGTGCATAGAATTTGAAACCAAGATGATCTAAAAAAATCAAGGTTGCGTGATTGCCATAAGAATGTGTACAGAGGGCATAATGAAGAAAAAGGTAACAGAATTATGTGTCAAACCTCCAAATTTTATCACTTTGTTAAATATCATATGGTTTAGAAAACCAGATCTGTAATGCCTTGAAAAAAGTGTCCTTGGAACCACTGTCAGCCTCATCCTGACCTGCTGGCCTGCTGATCTCTTCAGTGTGTTCAGTGTGTTCAGAGACTCTAATTTTGCTCTGTAAAAAAAAAAAAAAAAAAAGAAAAAGAAAAGAAAAGTCTGTCTAATTTTGTGATATTTCAACAGGACTTCTGTCTATTTCAGTTTAGGAATATGGGGTGATTCAGAGCTAGCATTCCCATGGATGTTTTTGTGTGGAATGTAAAAGACATTTAGGGGCAGGCATTTACTGTAGTGGTTGAGGGGCTGCACTGGGTACCTGCATCCTGTACCACAGTGCCTGGGTTCAGATTTTTTTAAAAAGGTTTATTTATTTTATTGGAAAAGCAGACATACAGAGAGGAGGAGAGACAGAGAGGAAGAGCTTCTGTCTTATGATTCACTCCCCAAGTGGCTGCAATGGCCGGTGCTGTGCCAATCTGAAGCCGGGAGCCAGGAACTTCTTTCTGGGTCTCCCATACAGGTACAGGGTCCCAATGCTTTGGGCTGTACTCGACTGCTTTCCCAGGCCACAAGCAGGGAGCTAGTTGGAAAATGGAGCTGCCGGGATTAGAACTGGCGCCCATGTGGGATCCTGGCGTGGGAAGCGACGGCCTTAACCATTACACTGTCACGCTGAGCTCTGGGTTCAAATTTAAGCTTTACTTCTGATTCCACCTTCTTGATAATGTATACCTGGGAGCTGGTCGTTGTGGGTCAATGTGGGAGTCCTGGATTGAGTTCCTGGTTCTTGGTGCCACCCCTTGCAGACATATGAGGAACCAATGGATGGGAGATCTCTCTGTGTCTCAAATAAAAAAATATGCAAAAAACATCTGAGTATAGAGATGCCACATCAAGAAGAATTAAGGATTTGTTTTGAATGGGTGGAAATGGTAAACAAGAGAGTATCAGTGTGAGAGAAATAAGGGTATCAGAGTATGCTCTTATCAGAGTTCAGAATATGACAATGATGCTGGGATGAAGAAGCAAGTTTTTCCTTTTTGTTGTAAGGTATTCAATGATTTAAGGTCGAAAAAACCCAAAAGTTTTGAAGCTTTGAATTGAAAAAAGAAAAAGTCAATAGACAGCATCAGATTCCTAGCAAATGTACCAAAATTGATCTAATTTTCTCATTGTTCCTAGGCTGCACCCTATTTCACAATGGGCTCCCTTGCTGCAGCAAACGCAGAATTTTGCTTCAATCTCTTCAGAGAGATGGATAGCAATCACAGTAATGGAAACGTTTTCTTCTCCTCTCTGAGCCTCTTCACAGCACTGGCACTGGTCCGTCTGGGCGCCCGAGGGGACTGTGCTGCTCAGATTGACCAGGTGACTGTTGATTTTGCAGCTAAGTGGGGAGGAAAGAGGACTGGTCTCCCCAAAAGATCTCAGAGCATTGGTCTTTGTCAATGATGGGAGTCAGGAAGACACAGGTGTTGCCTGTAACACCTGCACACACCGCTCTGCAGGTGTAAAGAAAGCAGGGAGCATGCTGCACCTGTTTTTGAGCTTGACACCCTAGGAGTGCTCCCAGGACCACAGTTTTGATTTTCTGCCTTAGTGTAGTGGTTCTCAGGGAGTGTTTCACAGACCAGTAACTTTGGAGACCTTGTTAGAAATTCAAATACTTGGGAACCACACCAGACATACTCCATCAGAAGCGATGGGCATGGGAACCAGCAGTTTTGGTTGTAATAATCTTTTCTAACGCACACCAACTTTTGCAAAATACTGCCTGAGTAGACATGAGCAAGGCAGAATAGAAAGTCCCAGGGTCTGACGCCTCTTCTTTTAGAGGAAGTTAGAAGCCCCTGGAAGTGTACATCAAGTTAGTATTTCCACAATGACCTGGGCAGCAGATGTTTGGGCAGTGCTGTCAGTAATGACAGTGGGAGTGATTTAAAAACTGTCAGCTGTAATGACATATGCATCCACAGTCAGAAAAATCCTCTCTCCAATAAATAGGGTCTTTTCTAATGAAACTCATGCCTGATACACAAAATGTAGTTTTAAAACTCCAATCAGTACAAATGTCTACCTGAATTAAATTTTAGTGACTCATTTGAGTGTGTATGTCCAAAATAAGCAATGTTAGCAAAAGTTTGAATTTCTGTGCTTTAAGATATTTATTGGGTAAAATAAGACGTGTATTCAAATAATCTTGAGGTTTGCATTATTAGTAACTTGAGGTTCTTACGTGACTGGAGGTGGGTGTGGGAAGACAAAGACATTAGCTGTTCAAATGGTGATGACACAGCACTTCAGTATCTAATTTGGTGGAGCTTAATGCAATTTTATATAAAATTTCAAGAGATTCAGAGATAGTAATTTGTAGGAAATGCTGATAGATCCCATGATTCCTTAATGGCAGAAAATTAAAAGGGAAAATCTGGTGAGTGAAATTTAATGTTCAATGAACACATGAGTTGATGACCTCATTTGTATTGGTCCAAATGTAAAGTTATAGTTGTCAAATCATTTTTAAAGAGACCTAATCATTCTGTAAGTCACAAATCAGTCTACAGGTGCTCTGAGTTGGACCGAGCAGCTGACATTGTCAACGCTGAAACTGTAGAGCTCAGCTTCTTACACCTGTGAAGTTAGGGGCAGTGTATGAAATTACACCAGCTATGTGTGGACTGACCAGTCAAGCATACTTTAGTGAAAGTAATGCCACTATATAACCTGATCAAGGTGAACCCACGAGAAATCAGACATGACAAAGCAATGCATGTTAAAGCTCCTTTTCAGCCTGTTAGAGTCATAGAGAGAATTATCTTTACATTACTAGTGAATTGAGGAAGAAGCACTTGGATTGTTCAAGCCTCCTGGTGTTTCCTAATCTCTGTGGTTCTGATAAGCTCTGCTTGTGTCCCATCTACAGATGCTTCATTTCCACAGCTCCTCAGGACACAGGAACTCCTCCACCAGTCAGGTAAAGACAACTCAGAGAAAAAATACTGACTCATGGAAATATTGACTTATGTTCTCTAGTCTTTCAAGTTCAAAGAACATGCTTCATGTGGCTATTTCATCTAAAATGTTTGATAATATATCTGTTGGTTATTAATTTAATAGTATTCTACTTGTATTGGACATGTTTTTGCCATAGAACTAAACATTTCGATTTTCTCTTGTTATGTTCACAGTTAACCGCATGGATAACGGATAGTCATTTAGAATGAGTACTAGCAAGATTCATTGTCCTTTTAATAATTTTATTCAAAGATTGGTTTTTGAGTAAATAATTTGGTCACAAACACTGAGGAGGAGTGAGACACTGTAGGGAGGGTTAAGGCACTGTACATGGCATTATTTGCTGCCTTTATAGTGCTGGTATTCTTTAGTTTTTTTTTTTTTTGTAGTATCACATGCCTCCTTTATTTTATGTGTAAGTAATACTATATATATCTTTGAAGGCCACAAATAAATTTTTGCATACATTTTTATTACAGCCAGGACTCCAATCTCAACTGAAAAGAGTTCTTGCTGATATAAATGCATCGCACAAGGATTATGAACTAAGCATCGTCAATGGTGTTTTTGCAGAAAAAGTGTTTGATATTCATAGGGTAAGTGAGACTGCCTATATTAGAAGGCTATTTCTACTCTGGACTAGATTGCTGGCCAACCCAACACAAAGCCTTGTGCCATTTTTACCGAACTAGATAGAAAGGTGATCTTTTCCCCTTTGGCTATTAATCATGTTCCCAGGTGTCTTCAACACATCATCACCATTTTCAAATTTAACTTTCCATCCATTGAATCACATATTTGGAGTCCCCTGGCTGATGAGCTCCAAAAGCAGAAGAGAATTTGCCCACACCAAGTGATGTAGAGCTGTAATGGTGGGTGCAATCCTTCCATTTGTAAGAGTATATTGTAGCAGAGGAAAGCATTTATTATGTATCCAGAGTTTGAGGTCTACTGACAGGTCTGCACTCTACCTGGGAGTTCTTCCTTTTCATCACTTTTTTTCTTATCTGTTCTTTTCATCTTTCCAACAGTCACTTTATCTTTTCAGAATGGGAAGCTCAGACCTAACACAGAGGCGGGAAACAGGCTTGCTCGAGCTACTCTCCTTTCCGTATGGTGTTTGTGTTGGAAATGCATTCGTCATTGGGCTAGGCGGCCTGGGATACACTTTCCACACCACACATCATGATTAGTCTGTGCTCTGCAGTGTTTATTGCTAGGAGAACCTGCTGCTGCTCACCTTGTTGCTACTGTTAAGAAAACAGTAACCGTGTTTTCTTCCCCTGAATTCTCCACTCCCTATATAGGAATAAAACTCCACCTCGGTGACATCGCAAGCTAATCATCACCCGCAATTTTTCCAGCTGCTGTCTTACACCCAACCATTATGGCTCCGTCCGTTTGTCACCCACCTGAATTTTTTGCACCTACCCAACACCACTCCCAAATACCTTGGTAGCCTGTCAATTATGAAGCATTAGCTTGCTTTCTATTTTTGAATCTTTCCAAGAGAGTTATTTACAAAGGAATTCCTATTTATTTCTCTTGCTTTCATAACTTCTCCTCTGGCTGCTTCATCTTAGGGGTCTTTGCTTTTATTTTTCCCTTCAAACATGTGTAAAATTTGAGTGTTCTTTGGGATTTTGACTCAGTCATTTGCCATTTTCTATATGGGAGAATTGAACTCCTAGGAGAGCTTACAGTCTGTGACAGCATCCACTGTGTCTGGGTCTCTAGAGCTGCAGGATGAGTCATACCTCCCAACTTAGCTTTAGCCTCAGCTTCACACTTGCCGTTGAAAGTGCTCAAGTGGACATGTGCAGGTTCCTCCACACAGCGCTTCTCTAGACCCTGGGGCTTCTCTGTGTCTCAGTTAGTCATCAGCTATCTTTGACTTCTCTTACAACACTCAGAGTTCAGCAATGAGGAAGACCTGTTAGATCCTCCTTTTATTTAAAAAGAAAGTATTTTGAAACACTTTCATGCTTACATAAAAGTTGGAAATATTGTAGGAATAACTTTTTCCCTGAAGAAATTAAGAGGGAATGTAGACATGTGCCTTGAGAGAAATGGAAGTAGAAAAATGTTGCACACACTTATGAGATGCAGCAAAGAAAGAAGCTGTAGGAAAGTTTATAGAAGAAACTCCCTTTGCAACAAAAAGAAGGAAGTATGGATGCTTGGTCCAGTGGTCAAGACACCTTCTAGCTGTATCCAAACTATCATTGAATTTATATTGAGAAAGACACATATTGGAAGTAGACACAAAAAATGAAAAATATCCTGTGTTCAAAGGCTAGAAGAATTAGTACTGTTAAAATGTTAAAATGTTAAAATGTGAACTACAGATTCAATAAAATCCTAATTGAAATTTCAATGTCATTTTTCACATAAATAGAATAATCCTAAAGTTCATGTGGGGTCATAAAATACCACCAAGAGTCAAAATAATCTTGAGCCCCCCAAAAGACATCAGATTAATCTCACATTAATCTACAAAGTTGCAGTAAGTCAAACAGTATTAGCTAAAACCTACGGATAAGCCAGTCCAGAAATAAATTTGTACATTTATAATTAATTTCTAAAATATTTATTTGAGAGGTTGGGTTGCAGAGGAAAATGCAGAAACGGAGGGAGAGAGAGAGAACACAAGAGAAAATCTTGCATCATCAGCTGCTTCACTTCTCAGATGGCCACAGTGGCCATGAATGTGCCAGGCTTAGCCCAGGAGCCTGTACGTCCCCTGGGATAGAATTGGGCCATCTTCCACTGCTTTCTCAGATGCACTAGTGCAGAGTGGGATTGGAAGTGTAACAACATTCAAGACTTAAATTGGTGGTCAGATGGAGTGTCAGTGTCACGGGCAGAGGCTTAATCCCCTATGCCACATTTTTTGACAATGTTTCCAAGAACACACAGTGAGGAAATGACAGTATATTCAATAAATGACATGGGGAGAACTGGCCAGCCAAATGCAGAGAAATGAAATTAAGCTCCTTTTTCATACTAGGCACAAAGAGTCAAGTTGACATATATTAAAGACTTAGACTGCATTCCCAAGGTAAATGGATGGAGATGGAAGGATGGATAAATGGATAGGAGATGAAGGCATATTGGAAAAGTTTCAATCGGACCAGATCATGATACATAGGATATGACCTGAAAGTCACCAACAGAAATAAAACTAGACAAGTGGGATTACATAAAGTTAAAAAGCTTCTTTCATGACAAAATGAAGTAGTCAACAGAAAGAGATCACCTCTGGAATGGTAAAATATTTGCTGATCATGTATATGATAAGGAATGAATATTCAAAATCCGTAAGAAACTTAAAGAAAAAAAAAACTTCATGGCAAGAAAACAAGCAAATAAAAGTTAGGCAAAGGATTTGAAGAGCCCTTTCTTAAATACACAGATTACCAATAATATGAAATTATGGCTCATTTGACTAACTGTTAAGGAAACAAAAATTTAAAACTAGAGAGAAATATTACCTCACACATACTAGAAAGAGTATTATGGATGTTTTGAGTCTCATCCTGAAGGTATACAGCAAATAATCAGACAGTTCTTGTCATCAGAATTGAAAATTCTATTAAATTTACCAGGATAACCTCTGACAATATATGGTTTGCAAAATTTCTTTTGTATTGAAATTATGAAAGCCTTTTCTGTAAAACTTAAGTGTGTATTTTTTGCACAGCTGGTGTGATAATAAGTTAGATAACTTTTATTTAAAGTTTATTTTTAGTAAAATCATTATTATGTAAAAGATAAGGCTTGGGGCTAGAAATAAAATAATGAGAATGCATAAATGAGCTTGACTTCACAGAATTTACTGTCTTATGAAGGGCTCTTAAGGAAAATGTGTTACAATAACAGTTGTAAAGAAAAATGAAGATAAACCGACTGAAGACATGGAGAAATATGTGGAAGGAATCTATCAAGTAGAGTCACAAGTGCTTGGAACCAGAAAATAAGACATAACTGTGGGAAATAAGACACATACAGGCAGATTTAGTGCCCAAAGACCTTAATAAGAGGAGACGAACTAAGTGCAAGAGTGTGAGGGAGGAAATGGCTTGAAGTGATATGCCAGCTGGGGAGCAATAGACTTGAGTAAGCTAGGTTTGTGGGCTTGGACTTTACCTGAAGTGCAACAAGTAACAGAGGATTTCCAGCAGGAAGAGAGTGGGACAAGGAAGGGAGACAGGGAGGTAAAGACAAAATCATGGCTGGATGGTGATGATCCGTAAATGCAACAATTGTGCTCTTATTCCTAGAATTACATGGAGTGTGCCAAAAAACTGTACAATGCCAAAGTGGAACGAGTAGACTTTACAAATGATATAGAAGATACCAGATATAAAATTAATAAATGGATTGAAAATGAGACAAATGGTGAGTGCAATACTATAGTTTTGTAAAATATTTGCCAATTACAGATGAATTCTGAGAAATTCAACTTTAACATTGGTGCTGTTTGTACATATAATCCTAAGTAATGATTGCTAGTTTTAAAATTGATTTAGTATTTGTTTTCAATGTGATTTGTTGAGCAGTCCTCGTAATTTGAATTAAGTGTCAGAAATTCCATGTTTATGTGATCTCATATTATCAAATAATAACTGATACAAATGGGTAGTGTTAGGATCATTTCATAAATTAGCAATATGTTGAGTGTTTACTGAATTAGCTTCAATCTCTTACCCTTCTTGATGGCTTACACAACACTGTTTTCGATTACCACAATGTAACATTTCATTCTGTAGGTGTGTTGTTAGTCTGTTGTAGCCAATATCCTGGTTGTTGACTTCTCAATGCTGCACTGTGAGCCCAATGATGACATGAGCTATGTCTTTCATTGCTGTAATTGAACATGGCATGGCAATTCAGAGAAAGGTTCATTAATAAAAGAGGCGATTGCTCTTTCAAACGACTAGAGGAAAATTACACTTGGAGTGTTGTAGTGACTGGCTATGGCCTGGGCAATGAGGTAAAGACACTTTTGTGTCCGTGAGGTCTGACTCTGGGGGAGGTCTTGCTGGTTGTACTGTGTCATGTGTGTGTTGCCCATTCCCTCTATGCCTTAGCATCTTCAACAGGAGAAGAGGCTACAGAAGAGCCTACCTTGTTGGGATTTTGTGAGGATTAAACAAAATATTACTGTCAAAGTATTTAAGCAATACTGGGTACATAAACACTAACTAGTTATCACTCATATCTTAATTTTTATTACAAGTATTGCATGGTAAGAAAACGTCATCAATGAATGGTTTCTAAGATATTCTTAATTTTTTTCTTTAAAAAAAATGAACATTTTTTCCACTTAATTGTTCTGAAGGCAAAATCAAGAGTGTGTTTTCTGATGGTAGCATAAGCTCATCCGCCGTCATGGTGCTTGTGAATGCCGTGTACTTCAAAGGCAAGTGGGAATCCGCCTTCACCAAGAGGGAAACACTCCATTGCCGTTTCAGATCTCCCACGGTATGGAATCTCCTACTTAATTTAGCAAGTTTTTTCCCAAGAGTATTCCTTTGCAAGTAATGAAAGTACTTACATAACTAAATGCTGGATTCATCACTTTTAAACCCAATTATTCTCATGTGTTTTTCTCACATTGATTCACATTTTCAGTTGCTTGATAAAGCATACTTTTCATTTTTCTGCTAATACAATTTGTTAAGCACAACCAAAACTGTCCCATAAACATTTAAAAAATATCTTCAAAATGTAAAGAAATACAGAAGTTAGAGACCTATAAAAAGAAAACATGACAACAATGTGTTTTTAATGTTTTCTGATTTTAATTGTGGGATCTACAGTTGGGAATGACTTATTACCAATATTTTTTTTCTGAAGTAAAGCCAGGATACGCTTTTCCTTTACTGGTGAAATAGATACGTTTGGTAATGTTACATCCTTCCAAATATAAATTGTATCTCTTCATCTGAATATATTTTTTTGTGAAACATTATGATCTTCACAGAATAAAATTTTTAGCCAGTTTCGAAGTTTACTAATTATATTCCTGATAGGAGATAAAGTCTATAGATTCATTTTCCAGTTTAATGCTGTTTAATGATTATAAATACTTTACTATACAAATTGTTTCCATTAAACATTAAGCACGAAGTAATGTTCCAAGTGCTAGATACACTAATGTATCTAATCCATACAGTGACCCTGCAGAAAAAAGACTCTTGTCATCTACTGACGAGGTTGCGGAGACAGAATGGCGAACTCACTTAACAGAGATCACACAGTTAGGAAACGCAATCAGCAATACTTAAGATTTGTGTTTTTACCACTGAGATGCACACCAATGCATACAATATTGAATCACTTCAAAAAATCTGCAGAACTGATTGAGCAAAAGCATGTTGACCAAGTATGATATTTATATATGTCCAGGAAAAATAGGTAAAATGAAATGGGATAATGAGTAACGTTTTGCAACTTGACTTTCAGTGTTGGGGGAAATCAGTGGCCATGATGCATCAAGAGCGGCGGTTCAACCTATCTTCCATTCAGTACCCACCCATGCAGGTTCTTGAGCTCAGATACCATGGGGGCATAAGCATGTACATTTTGCTGCCTCAGAGTGACCTGTCACAAGTAAGTTATTGTTGTCATCTTCCCCACTGGGGAAGAAAAAGAATTTTAGAATACTGTTGATTGTATTTTCATCCACTAATTTTAGAATTTCAACTTTTGGGATATTAGAATCATATCCATTTATTCATTTACTTGATAGATATTTAAGAAGTATCTATTATCTTAGGCATCATTACAAATATGAGGTTGTCTTATTTCAGTTTAGCATAAGTTTCGTCCAGTGGCAGAAAGTTGAGCCCTCTGAACTCTCAGCTACTGGGTTCAGAAGGCACAAGTTTAGGTCTTTATGCTTTACAATGACAACAGCCCTGTGTGTGTTGCTGAAATCTTGATAGACTTAAGCATCATGATATGATGCAGTCTTGGATTCGTAAGAATAAAAGCACGTGGTCCCAGGGTGTACTTCTAGTTAGATAATTTCCAGTGTTTTAGGGGGAGGAGCAGATGAGCACAATGTAGAGTTAATGCCAGCCAAACGCATCCATACTAACACAGGTTCTGATCTTTCAGTCTCTCCTCCTTGTCTCCTTCTGGACTTGACTCTAAGTCTCTTGTCTGCAATCCAGAGGCATAGATATATTCTAACTTCTATATTACTCTGATAATAAGAAATGACAGACACTGTCTGTTCAGCCCTGCTACATGCTTGCTTTCATGCTCTGTGGTTCACTAATTGGATCCTTTTATTATTATTATCATTTCATTTTATGACACAGTTTCATAGGCTCTGGGATTCCTCCAATCCCTCCAAAAAGCCCTCCCCCCATATCAAATTCCTCCATATTGTTACAGTAGTGCAGTTCATAACCAGTCCATGATTCCTTCATTGTGGGTATGGACCATGCAGAGTCCAGCATCTTATTGTCCAGATAAATTCAACAGTTTCATTCGGAGACCATCCCTGGTTTGAAAGTAGAGCTGGCAGAATCTCATCCCCTCCAATGAAACACCACAACACAAATTCAACTGCAGGAAGAAACATGGAAATTTACAAATCATGAAGTTAATTAACATGGTATTGAGAGACCAAAATGTTAGAAAATGCAAGTTCTTAACCACATCCTGTAACTACTTCATTGACATCTCAATTTTAGTATATACCAAACTGGCTGCTATAGACCTTAAAATGGTTATAGGGTACTATTCAGCTATCTCATGTCTATTTTCATTTTTTTATTTAGCAGCTTATAGTATTCAAGAGTAATTTTTACTGAACTTCGCGAATTTTAGGATAGTCCAAACAGGCTTATAACTCTAATAAGCCATATGTTAACGACTGAAGAGCAGAAGAGTTCTAGGAGGGGTATGCAGAGAAATCTTCAATACCTTAGTGAGGAGTAACTAATCTTTGTGTTCTACGTAGTAAGGTATATGGTAGTCCAAGCTGACTTTTCCCTGTCTATTCTAAGCTTTTCTTATTGGTCTCTGTCTATCTGATCTAATTTTGGGGGCTGTGGAGTAACCCTGATGTCCATTGCAAGAGAGGGTGGAGAGCCAAAGTTGGAACTAAGTAAGGACCAGAGAAAGCCACTATCCCGAGTCCTGATGGAAGTTTACTGTTGCTCTGTTTCTAAGGACTGCTCAGGGCTCCTGGCTTTGTTCCGATGACATTCAATCTTGTGAGGAAGGATCTGTGTTTCTTCCATCCCATGTGGGAGATCCAATAGGGAATGGTTGACCTCAGAGTTCTCGGCCTACAAGGGCATTGCAATTCTTTGTGATCTTCTTGGCAGTTGGGATGTAGTTCTTGGTGTGCATACCGATAATTCTTGATGAGGTACTGTCTTCCTGTTCCACTCTGGGTTCCCCTCCTGCTCTGTGCATATGACCTCCTGTTAAGAGGCTGTCTAATGCAGATTTGAGTCGGCTGTCTGTAAGTTACCTGTTACAATCTTGATAGATCATACTTAACATCTTCCTCACACACTCTAAAAAGGTGAAAGATTTCTCTGCTCTCTCGAGCCATTGTGGAATAACATAGGGTATTAAAAGCATATCAAGTTTTTCAGTTCTTTGATGTAGTTCATAAGCAGTCTGTCATTGATTATTGGTTCATTGGTTACATCACAATATCTTATTGCATGTGATGCAGGCTGTTTGCGGTTGTAATATGTTACAATTTATAGGTACTATTTTTTGGATTGAAATCATTTCATCTTAAATTAAGACAAACATGTGGTATCTAACTTTTTTTGGGATTGGCTCATTTCCCTTAGCATAATGGTTTCCAATTGGGCCCACTTGGCCATGAAGAAATGCATTTTGATTTTTTTTCAATAGTTTAGTAGTATTCCACGGAGTAGGTGAACTATAGCTTTCTTATCCAGTATTCTGTTGAAGGGCATTTCGGCTGCTTCCAAGTTTTTGCACACTGATTGGATCCTTACCACAACCATATGACATATGGAAGGGAGCCTCATGGAATTTGCTAATTAGATATGTATTTGTGTGTGTATCCTTAAGTATCTCAACCACATGGAAAAGTCACAAAAACACTTTTAAATTTTTTGCTGTGTTTTGATTTGGAAAATCATGCATAAGTATTATCAGATAATCAGAAAGTGGAAAGAATATGTAGAAATTGATCTTTCTATTATCCAGAGACATTAATTTTATCTTTCTTAAGGTTTATTTTTCTTAAATTAAAAAAATCTATTTATTTATTTGAAAGGAAAATTTACACACACACACACACACACACACACACACACACACACACACACACACACAGATTCACTCCTGAAATGGAGATAATGGCTAAGTTTGGGCCAGACTGAATCCAGGAGTAAGGAACCTCTTCCAGGTCACCCATGTGGGTGCAGGCCCCAAAACATGGACCACATCCTCTATTACTTTCCCAGGCCTGTTAGCAGGGAATGTATAGAAGTACAACCGGGGCTTGAACTGGTGCCATATAGGATGCTGGAATCATAGGCAATGGCTCCATCCTTTATGCCACAATGCTGACCCCTTTTCTATGGCTTAAAAACATAACTTTCAAGCTTTGAAAATACAGTTTCTTCATTTTGGAGGGTGTGGATCAAACTAACTTATTTAAGCATATAATGATTTTAATCTTCAGACTTTTTAAATATAAGCAGGAAAGAGAAATGTCACAGGGTTGGCGCTGTTAAGGTGTGACAATATGCAATATTTATATTAACTGAACCAATAATTAGAGAACTTCTATAGTAATCAAATTTAGTAATATCAATTATTCTAGCCTAAACAATGTACATTAATAGAAAAAGGATGCCAGATCAAGCAGACAGCAGAGAGGTCAAAGGTAGACTTGTCCTTGTCTGCATTTTCTTCTCCATAACAGTTTTTTTTCTAACAATGTGTGACTCAGACTAATATAAACCTGCCTGTTATAATCTTAAATATAACTGATTGCAAATCTCAACATAATTAAATATAATCTCAAATATGTTTCTAACTCTTTAAGCATAATAATGAGGAACTTGGTTCTTCAGTGGGCTAAACTGAAAAAAAAATCCAATTCTGAATAAAAAAGTTAACAGATTAACTGAAAAGTTATGCAGAGAGTTTTGAAATCTGGCTAAATTCGATTATATAGATTATTTCCTTGATAAGAATATAGGTAAAATTTAATATCTTTGGAAAGATGTGCTAGAATTTCAACGAACTAGGGCTTGAAAAGACATATTCATATACAATATTTATAACATTATAATATTTATGAACGGTCTTTAATAAAAGCGCTTTCAGTCTAAATCTGATGACTCTGTTCAGTTCTCAGTATACAGAAGTTGGTGAACACAGTCCGTGATTTGTTTTGGATCTATAAGGTGCTGGAGAGCTTCCTTCTCTTAACCATGTAACTAATAGGATTTTCTATGTACCCCGTACTTCTTTCATCTTCTTGTTTCCCCCCACTACATAATCACATCAGTTCAGATGCAAGTTATCTAGAGGGTAGCTGATGGACTAGGAGGTGTTGATCCCTCAAGCTCTCAGGGCCAAAGCTTGTGGTCCTAATATTAGGGTTTCCTGGAGCTCCACTAGTTTACTCCTGCAAGCCAGGCAGACATAGTTATTTTTAAGTCTCCCATGATGAGAGGATGAATAGAAAAGTCTGATTAATATTACAAATGAACACCTTACTTTCAACAATGATTTCAGGTCCCCGTATTCCTTTACTGGCCAGTGCTCCATTCTGGCTATGTCAGCTCATATGTAAACAGAGAGCAGAAACGTCCTGCAGTGTAAGGTATGCCCTGTCACAGAAGAACAAATGAAACATGGGATGTGTTAAGAAAGTGTTTGATCTACTCATTTATATCATTTTCCATTTCAGAGTCTCAGAGGGCCCATTTACACAAAGTTAAATAAAAAAATTCCACGACAGACAGGCAGCTCTGGAACACCCCATGTCCTTGCAGTTTTTGTTTCATCTGATTCTGAACTGTATGATTTTAAGTCATTTTGAAATTATTTCTGCAGATTGAAAACAACCTATCCTTTCGGAATCTAATGGAGTGGACCAATCCAAAAAGAATGAAATCTCAGTATGTTGAGGTGTTTCTGCCGCAGTTCAAAATAGAGAAGGATTATGAAATCAAAGAACACCTGAGAGCCCTGGGGCTGAATGACATCTTTGATGAATCAAGAGCTGACCTCTCCGGGATAGCCTCCGGAGGCCGCCTCTACATATCGAAGCTGATGCATAAATCGTTCATAGAGGTTTCCGAGGAGGGCACCGAGGCTACGGCCGCCACGGGAAACGACATCGTTGAGAAGCAGCTCCCCGACTCCACAGTGTTTAGAGCTGATCACCCATTCCTGTTTGTTATCCGGAAGGATGACATCATCTTATTTAGTGGCAAAGTCTCTTGCCCTTGAACATCCAATTTGTTTCTGTTAGTAGTTGCTGCCACATCAAAGAGACATTGCAAGGGAGTAGATTTTACTGGAAGCATGTGGTGTTGCTTTGGAGTTTAATTCTTCCTGACACTGGCCAGCAAGTGACACTGGTGTTTTGACCCTTCCCAAACACTTGGTTGATTCTGTTAATCTCTCTTAGCATTTTCACCACCGTGTGTGTTTCACCCATTTCTGATTTCATTGTCTTTCCCTACACAACCGTCCATATCATTCTCCCCCATGACCCACCTGCAGCTATGGAGAGGGCTCCCTGGTCATGTGAATGTAGACACAGTTCTAGGAATCTTTTTGGATAGCAGCACTTAGCACAGATATTTAGTTTCCTTGCAAACAATGTAAGAAGCAAGATCATCTGTTTCCTAGGGATAGAAATAGGCTCAGATGACTTAAGAAAACATGACAGTTTTGTTTAAAAATTTAATTTTAAATCAGTGTATAGCTAGATGTGTAAAAGGATAGATTTGGAAATGAGGATGCACTAAAATATTACATTCATAATTTCAAGTTGACATCTTTCGGGCTTTTCTTGATAAGAAGTAATATGTACATAGTTTTCAATCATTAAGCACCTTTTAACTGTTGGAAGCTGTTATTTACAGTATATTATCTCATATGCTGTGTGGATTACAAGTTTTTTTTCCCTATTTATCAAAATAAATAATTACAACATGCTTGTATATGTGTTTGTTCTACTCTGACCAATTATGAGATTAAGAGCCCTTCACTCTCCAAGCCAGGCAACGTAACAATGAAAGAAAGAAAGAAGAGAAAAGAAGCAAGCAAGCAAGAAAGAAATAGAAGTAAGTCTAATTGGCTTCAATATTGTTCATTTTCTAGGTGGGAGCCATTTTTACAGATGCTTATGTGGGCTGTTGAGAAAATTTAAATACTAGGATTTAAATTCAGAAGTGTATATATACATGTGTATATTTGCAATAAGTTAAAAGTAAATTTACAAATTTCGCTTGAGAAGGAGTGATGCAAGCCAGGAACAGGCCATGACACAACATGAGGATGTTTAGCTCTCTCTCTCGGCAGGTGTCTGATTTAGAATAAATGGTATAGAATCTATTAACATCATATGATGGGTAAATAGGACATAATTTGAAAGTTGAGAACATTCCCAGGTCAAAATAATTTCAATACAAATATGCAACAGCTAAGGTAAATATTTTGGGGAGCTTTATTAGAACTGACATGCAACTGTATGGTTTTGGGGAGGAACCTGTATTTTTTATTACATTTCTCATAATTAGTGTAACATTCAGAGCATGGAAGCCAGGAGCAAGCATTCTGATGGAGTGACACACGCAGGCTGTGCAATCACACACAAGGCCACTTTTCCTTGTGGCCTTTCCATGTGAGCCAAGCTGGGACTCTGATATATTGAGGTTGAGGTATGCTTCAGAGACAGCACGAATTTGAGGGCTGTAAGGCAATAGCTTCTGTCTTGTTCCCCCCAAGTTGCTATAACAAATGGTCATAGGCAGGGTGATCATAAATACTACAAGTTTCAATCACTCGCTCCCTCTTTTTTTCTCCCTTCCTTTGCCCTCCTGTTATAGACCATTCGACTTAGATTATATCTGGGAGCTGAGATACACTGGGATCTCCAAGTATTTGGCTTCTGTGCAGTGTGAAGAGCGTGCCTGGTCTTCACACATGTGGCAATGTTTCTGGTCCCTGAGGAATGTCAGCCCGCCAGCCAAATTACCTAGGTGGTTCTTCTCTGTAGGAATTCTTCAGGCTGTTTTATTGGAACCACACCTCTAGACTGGGGACGTTGCTGGCTGCCGGGCTTGTAATTGTTGGCAAAGCATCAAATACATTCAATCTTTCAGAAGAAAGGATTACAACTTTCCTATTAATATCCGTCTCTAAACCCAGCTACTACAAGTTTCCTTTTCATGAGTTCTTTCAGGAAGCCTATCATGAAGAACCTCACACCCCTTCTGTAACAAGCAGGATGAACATGTTCCTGAAGCTTTTTGCTTTCCTAGACCGAGGTGCTCAGTTTCCATAATAGGAGAGGAGGGGACAATCACTGTAATCTCCATATCTTCATGGAAACCCTCAAAGGTTGACAATGCAGTCACCAAAGACACAGGTTTCCATCCTGTTCTATACAAAACCCACACAAGGCCAGGGATAGAATAAGACCAGCAATGCTCCCAAGGGTGCAAAATTAAGGGAGGCACTAACTCTCAGAGGATGACTTTGGATTTGTGTGATCCTGAGATCAACTGCCTCTTTCAACTGTACACAAAGGTGGCTCACTGTTATTCAGGTCCTGTGAGTAGCGACTTGAGCCTGCAGAGTGAGTGTACCCTTAGATTGCATGCCAATGGTCCTCTGTTGTCTTGATCTCAGCAATAACTCCAAGAGGCAAGAAACTTCACTATGATTCTTCAAACTAGCCCACATTTCTACAGAAGTTGTGCTCCCATCACCTGATTCCACCTGGTATCTACATCTCGGTCTGGGAACAGCCAGAAGCAGAAATACTGATGATTCTGAGTTGTTGGCTAGCCTTATTGCTCTGATTTTATTGTTTTTCTTCCCAAATTGAGGTCTCATGATCATCCAACAGCCATGTATCATCTATTTAGTAGGTACTGGTTAACACCTTCTTTTTCAGAAGGAACTGGAAAAATGCATTTTAGAAAAATGAAAACAAAGCAATGATTTTCATGTTGAATGAGGTTGTCTTAAGGCTTTTTTTTGTAACCTAAGAGTAATCTTTGGGCCTGGTGTGATTGCTTGATTGGTTAATCTTCTACCTTACAAATGCTGGGATCCAATATGGGCACCAGTTTTGTTCCGGCTGCTCCGCTTTTCATCCAGCTCCCTGTTAGTGGCCTGGGAAAGCAGTGAGAGATCACCCATTGACTTGGGATCCTGAACCCATGTGAGAGACTCAGAGGAAGCTCCTGGCTGTTGGCTTCAGCTTGGCTGAGCTGCTGCTACTGTGGCCACTTGGGGTGTGAACTGTAGATGGAAAATCTTTCTCTTTGTCGCTCCTTCTCTTTGTAAATATGGCTTTCCAATAAAAATTAAAAATACATCTGAAAAAAAGGTGATCTTCAAAATTTTTACATGTTATATTATGTCTGGCCTTAAGTAGGCAAGTTGATTTCCAGGTTCTTATCCTAGCTACATATTTAATGAAGATCAGATATGATTTATAATGTATTTATTTGTTGTCGAATCTTTGTTTTGAATTATCTGCAGTGCTTTATCCTACGTCAAAAATAGACTATTTTTAGCGATGTTTTGTGCAATTTAAGATGACAAAATATAGCTAAGTAATTTTAAAAGGTTGTGGTTAGAACTCAGCTTAAATATTTGTTATGCAAAGTATATATTACAAACTGGAAGTAAGCCCACTAATATGAAACAAGTTTAATGGACAATTCCACAAGCCACAGGCAGGCCATTCCTAAAGGTGCTTGATCTCCTGAGGACGCACAGCAGAACTGGAACACAAACTACACAGGGTAAAAAGCAAGTTTCACATTTGGTTTTTCTACTGCTCTCCATTTCCCCAACTATTTTTAGTGCCCAGAAAAATCATAAATACTAGACCACAATAAAAGTAAGATGTGATATTAAATAAAAAATAGATCTGTAGGTAATAACTAAATCCTAACACTACCAAAATATTCACCTCAGCCACCAAGATATGCTTAAGCCTAAAAGCAAAGTTAACATTTGTTTTGTCAAACATTGCATAAAATTTCTGTCTCTGAAGAAGGTTTCATAGAAACTAAAATGAATAACTTGCAGAAGCCTAAGTGTCTAGCCAACCCCATTAGTCATGTCTGAAAGTATGCAGCAATCACTGAGCAGAGACTACTGCTGTCAAATTTTGAGGCTAAAAGATGAATAATGAAATTGTTTTCTGCTACCCATGAACACAAAAATGGACGAAGGAGAGAGAGGGAGGGAGGGAGTGAGGGACTAGAGAGCCAGAAGAAAGTAAATATGGTGAAACATTGAGATTTTTAAATCTTCTCACGTTAAAACTGAGATGTCTATTTCTTTTAAAAAAATTCAGCATTCATGCCCTGGCCATCTCTGTAGGAAAAGGAAAACACGTACAAAAAAAAAGGAAAATGTTATTGAGGGAAGTGGGATTCCTAAATATAAAACTTTGTCTCTAATTTATTCAAGAGGGGCACATAGAAGCCGGTAACTAAGTCATTTTCTAATGTCAGTACAATAAACAAGGAACAAAGAATAAGCATTTCCCCCAAAATTGAATGATATTAATAACAATACACCTGGCAAAAAAATAATACTCATGTGCCCTTCTCTGGGTCTCCAGGGCCAGGGACATGTTTATGGCGGGCGTGGCAGCCAGCTGTGCTGACGGGAAGTTTGCCTGTATGGCTCTGGGATACCAGCCCTTGCTCTTTCCAACAAGTAGAATCATGAAGCCTAATTAGCCATGGCTTTTTATGTGGTGCCTTCAGTTCCAGGAATGAAAAAAAGAGAAACATTATAGATGAAAAGATACTGAAGTAATTATAGAAGTTTTTTACAAATGAATATACAAAATATTGGGGTTGCTGAATGAATCCACCATATTTTTGTAAACAGCTGAACAATGAGATTTCCTCGTTGCATCAGCATGGTTTCACTTTAGTGTTGTTTGGAAAGTTTGAGGAGCTGCAAATTATTCCTTACACTCATCATTTGTTTTTCTTTTTTTAATTGTATAAATTTTATTTTTGATAATTTTTACATATTTGATTATGGTGCAAAGGGTCAAAGGGTAGACGAAAGTAGGTGAGGCCATTGTTTTGACATTCTCTTTCTTTTCTTTTTGATTGTATCGAAGGGGTGGGGGAGGGAAACGATAAGAGAAGCTGCACCCAGCCTCCCACCATCCCAGGTTCCCCAGTGTGGGGCATGCTTTGAGGGCCTTGCTCAAGTGGTTTTGATAGTTCAAAGTT